CCACCTTGATGAGCATGTCCCTCTCGTGGTGCATGTCCTTCTTCCCGCTGTTGTGCAGGTCGTGTATGATGGTGTCGGCCGCCACACGCGACTGCATAACACCACCCACAGTCACGACAACACAACATGTGTTCGTTCAGATGAAGGATGGGATGGGGGTGTTGGACCACCCGCGCCTTCCACGAACCTCTTGGTATTTCTTCTCCTGTGGGTACAAACACACCACACACACAACACAGGGTGGCTACACACAGAGTGGTTTGCGCACCAGCTCCTGCAGTGTCCTCACCAGTTCTTTGAAGTGTTTGGCGAGGTACTCCTGCGTCGCCAGCTTGCACTTCAGCTCATTGATCTCCTCACTCAGCACACGCACCGTCGTCTTGGCCTCAGCCAACGCCTTGCAGTCCCTGTGTTGTGTGCACAAAGAAAGAGCAGGTACATCCTCCCCCGCCGCCCCTCCCCTGTGTGTGGGTGGATGTGTGTGTCTGGCGGGGTGAGGTGGCGGCAGAGCACTGACTCCTCTCTGATGCGTGTGATCTCCGATGCTGCGAAGCTGCGGGTGGCGGCCTCATTCTCTGGTAAGATGCTCTGCGGGCAGACGCACACACACGGGACACGGCCAGATGGAGGCCTTGGTGGGCCCGGGGGGTTCGAGGGTGCGGCGCGTACCCTACCTGCTCGTAGGTCTTGCGTGTTCCGTAGTCTGCCCACGCCATGACGTTGTTCCACTGCTGGTTCACCAAACGCAGATGCCCCTCGTACCCATACTGGACAACACAACACACACAACACACAACACACAGCAAACACACAGCAAACGGACCACCGGTCCGCCTTGCGACCCTTCCTCTCTTGCACCTTCACCTGGTCATGCATCTCCACGTGTTTTTTCGCCCAAGCCGCCGGCGAAACGATCTCATCTGCCCGCCCACGCAGCGAACAGAGCTGCAACGTTTTGGTGGTTTCAGCCTTTTCATTCTGTGTTCTTTGACCTTTGGGCGGTTGAGCGATGATGAAGGCCATCGGATCCACGCTTAACCGCGCCGTCAGAGGCGGAGATGACACCGTGACGCCGTCAGACACGGACGACGATGCCGCCATCTGGCCGTCGTCCTTCGTGGACGAGGACGCCATCTCAAAGTCTTCACATGGGCGTCAAGAATCCGCACGAAGTGATCTCGCAAAAGATTTACGAAGCCTAGCCGTGAAACAGGCTGGCCGGGTTTGGCGGTACCGATGGAGATTGACAGAAATAAGCATCTCCGTGTGCCTGATGCGCAGCTGGCGCTCGAGGTGCTCATCGAGAGCAAAAACCTCAAGTCCATCTTCGCGGTAGGCCGAGATCTCCCATACTCATCGCCAGATGGCCATCGATGGATCTCTCCGTGCCGTGCAAGTCAAGAAGGGCGAGAGCGATGAGGTGTATGAGGACCTATACGACGTCATCGACCGCGGAGGCTGCTGGCACCGCTGGACCAGCGTCTTCAACGTCGGCGAGCACTTCGGCTCCTGCAGCCTGCCCATCGAGCTGGGCGAGGAGGATCTCAAGAACGTCCCGCACAAGTCGCAGACCGAGGGCTGGCCCGAGGCGCTTCGCCAGTTCGCCTTCATCGGCCACAGACTGACGACGCGCGAGGGCGTGGGGATGGACCTCACACACAGCATGGGGCAGTTCTACATCCACGAGGGCGAGGCCAAGAAGCCCCTGGTGGTGTGGAGCCCTGAGGCGCTGGCGGGCCTGGGATGGGTGGGGGCCACATATGACGAGAGCAACCCCGTGTGTTCAGGTGAGGGTGAGGGTGAGGGCGTTGGTGGTCGCTGACATCTCATCTTCTCTGTGTGTTTGTTTCTGTGGGTCATTCATTCGTTTGCGTCCTGGTTGCAGTAGCAGGTGACGAGTATCTGTATGGCTCGTTCCGTGGGCTGGTGCTAGCGAAGTGGGAAGGAAACCAAGTTGGCCCGGCCATCATGATACCTTTGTTTGTGTCCGTCAGGGTGTTGGAGTGCCGTGTGGACTTCGGCTACATCGACACGGCCTCCCTCGGCGACGACCCCCACCGCTACAAGGAGGCCATGGAACTCACCCTGCCCGGCTGCCTCGGCATCAAATACACCGACAAGGAGGGCAAGGACGACGGCCGCATCTTCGTCCTCACCGGCCACAAGGCCGTGGACAAGTGCGGCGCCTACCTGACCATCAGCCGCAACAGCAGCAACGCAGAGGAGGTGACCATCAGATATGGCTGTGTGGGGGCGGGGGCGGGCGGGGGAGAGGGGCGAGGCGGTGGTGGTGGTGGTGACGATGACGATATGGATGTGGACGACGAGGAGACGGGCATGTGCGGGGTGGCCACACGAGCCATGGGGGACAAGGCCTGGGTGCTGCTGGGCAAAGAAGAATGAGAATGACAACGCAAGCATACACACAAGTACGCAACGCAGCGTGTGAGATGGGCGGGGGCTGGGGGGGGGCTTCACGTGTGTATTCTGTGTGGTGTGGTGTGGTGTGGTGTGTTGTGTGCGTTCTTGTTTCTCTCCCCGTCTTATGTGTGCTGTGCTCTGTCAGATATTAGCTGAGAGGGTGGCGGGCTGGCTGTAGGTAGCACACAGCGGGGAGGGTGGTGGGTGAGGCCGGCGGTAGGTAGCATTCATGTGTGCGGTGCATGTGTTCGTGGTGAGTTGCTGACGGACTTGCGGGGCGGCGAGTGATCCGATTCGATTGGCCCCCTTCTCTAATTAACCAGTGGATGTGATATGTGTGATGTATGTGTGTCACTTGTGGCCAGCCAGCTTTGTTCAGCTCATGCATCGGCGCCATTCACCACTCAACCATGTAAGTAAACTAATCCATTGTCGCCCGAAAGACAATTGGCATGGCAAGCATCGACTCTTCAAAGAAACATACATGACCCTGCACCGCATCCGACCGTCCAGTCCGCCACACATGCAGGCGCCAAAGCAGCTATCTCTCTATCGACAGGGCCACCATGCCCCTCACTGCTGAGTGAGTCTCTGGGGGCGGGTCGGGCGGGAGAGGCGAAAAGGCGACGACGGAAGAAATGCATGCACCTTTGATGCAGTGCAGCCTGCCTGTCCTGCCACTTTTGGGCACAGACAGCCAGGCATGCCGGTCGCCTCGCCTCTCGACCGCATCCACGCACGCACACCCACCTGCACACATGAATTGAATGGTGGCCGCACGGGACTGCACAGAAATGTACACACCCCAAAAATATACACGGTCATGCCAGCAGATCACATCCATGTCATTCCATCCATCCATCCATTCATCCATTGAGGCCCACCCACTTGTCCCTGCCAGCAGCGAGCGCCGAGACAGACGCACCCACACACGACAGCCGGGGAAAGGGATAAGCTGACGCTCACACACTGTGGCGTGCGTCGGTAGGTGCTCGAATTCTCCCCCACCCCCCTCACACACACACACACGCACCCCCCTCACGCAATCCGCAACCCGCCCGCCCTGTAAGTGTACCACATCCATCCATCCATCCATCCCACATCCCACCCACCCATCACTGTTGCCATTGACCACCCTGCCCTGCTCTCACCGCCCCCGCCCCCAACCCCCCGTCATTGAGCTCATAAAAGTGACCCTAGGACAAATACTATGTGTCTTTTTTTTGCCCTGGCTGCGGACGGACGTCTACTGCGCAGTCACTGTGGTGGCCTACGCGCGTGCGTGCGTCGTGCACGCGCAAATCGACACAGACAGAGAAAGGCGGAAGAAGACAGAGAAACCCCGTGGAAGTTGAGTTAGTGCAGTCAGTCAGTCAGCAGTCGACTCTCGCTCTGCCAGCCAGGCCTGCCATCTACGTCAGTCAGTGAGTGTGATACAGTACGTTATCCATGTGTGAACGTTATGTATGTGTACAATACCCGTCGGCAGGCAGGCAGGCACCAGGAGGCGAAACGCTAGAAGGAGCCTGCCTGCCTGTCTGCGCCGGGCATCATCATGACATGATGGATGCCTTGAGGCAGCCCAGTCAACATACATACACACACAGACAGACACACACATGACATGCGCACAGACACACAGACATGGATTCACGCGCCCACCCCACCCCTCCCCTCCCCCCCAAACACAGACTGCCCAGCCCCTAGGTTGTACAAATGGATGGCAACAGGTAGGTAAGGTAAGAGCAATAGGCATGCATCGGTGTGGTTCACTCACTCATGCATCCGCCATCATAGCGGCCGGCGGCAGCTCACACGACCCGTCGCTCTCGGTCTCCACCGTCTCCAACACGTCACCGTACTCAACAAACTCCTTGATCTTTCTGCACACGCGCACACACATGTATCACCTCTCTCTCCTTGTCGTTGTTGTCTCGTCACTTACCCGAGCAGCCAGACGCCGTACCACTCGGATGGCAGGTGTGGGAAGGGTGGCGTCTTCTGTGGGTGGGCCAGCAGGTGGTCGCTCATCCGCGGCACCGCCAGCAGGGTCCTTGGGGGACTGCCGCCGTGGCTCTTCGGGGACGCCTCGCCCTCTGCCTGCAGAGGGCGGTGTGTGAACGGCTTGGAGATGTCGACGTCATACCGGGGCTCGTAGAAGAAGGGTACAGAGTATCGCTCCTGACGCAAGTCCACGACTAAAGAGACACCACCAACGAACCACAGGCAGATCGACATGCCGCTCTCTCCTCCCCAGTGTTGTGTGTGTCGCTACCTACCACACCCACCCACCTCTGTGTCTGGTTGCCTTGAAGCGCCCTCCACTCAGCTTGGCCAAGGTATCCCCGATATTGACCACCAGCACGTCTGGCCTCGGCGGCACGTCGACCCATCTGCCGTCGCCTGTCAGGATCTGAAGGCCCTTGAAGTCGAAGGTCGCCAATATCGTCAGGAAGCCGGAATCCGTGTGCTCGGAGCAGTGCAGCACCGGCTCCCCCTCCGTCGCTGCGGCCTCAGCAGAAGTATCAGCAGCGGCAGGGGGTCTGTAAGGGTAGTGGATGAGGCGGAGAGTCGACAGAGGCAGCGGCTCGAACAGCGGCAGGAAGTAGTCACTCGGAAGGCCCAGCCCGACGGCCAGGACACTCATGATGGCGTGGCTCGCCCTCTGCACCACGGCCAGGTGGTCACTCAGGGTCTTGCTGAATGCTACAGACTCTGCACACACACCACACCACACGGGACAAACAGAGATGCAACCACGTAGGCAGAGACACATACAGAAGGACGCCCACCTGGCGTGTCTGCTTGTGGGAGGAGGTTGGGCTCGTAGAGGTGCTTGAGTGGCCATGGGGGCAGCTGGTGCTGCAGCTCTGCAGGCACGTCGATGCCGATGTCGAGACCCTCCTTGTATGACGTCGTCTTGCTCTCGTTCGCTGCCGGCTGGCAGGGGAAGTACCCCTTGTAAATGTTGGGCTGTTTCGGGTTGAATCGACGCTTGCCTGGGGATAGGCAGCCATCGAAGGCACGTGTCTATGCCTTGTGTGCCTGCCAGTGGCCACATTTGCGTGTCTGTTACTTACCAATCTTGAGCTTGTCTTCCAATGGCGAGTCGAAGAACCACTTGGCTGCTTCCAGAAGCCTCCTCTCGTCATAACCTGGGGACACACAAACAACCACTCTCTCGCTGTCTGGCTGTGTTGTGTGACTGTCTGCCTGACCCACTCACCTGGTATGTTCTTGATGGCCAAGAAGCCGACGTGTTCCATTGCGTGTAGGACATCGCGAGAGGCCGCTGCGTGTCCCTCAGGCGACTCGAGGAGCGACAGGTCGATGGTTGGAATGGAACCCGTCATTTTGACTCAGAGGAGAGAAGAACAGAGGACAGAAGGCAGGTTGTAGAGGAGAAGAGGACAGAAGTAGGCGGCTTCGTTCGTCCTTTGGGGTTGTTTGTTGTCTTGAGCCCTCCTCCTGTTCTCTTCCTGCGAGCTAAGCTTCAAGCCTCAACTTGAGCTCGCGTGTTTCTTCTCTCTCCCGAAGATCTTGGTTAGTCCTAGAAGTGGAAAGATGCGGCTGAATCACGTGTCCGTCCTCTCCTGCACCCATCGCCTCCCCATCCCCGCCCCTCCCCTCTCATCTTTCTGCGCCATCCAGCGTAGAGGCAAGAAGGACCTCTCCATGGTGCCGCCATGGTACAGGCACGCCCGCACCAATCACAAGATTAAGGCTCCCAAGGTCGACGTCACCGTCACGGCCAAGGCGCTGGGCAGCATTCACGACGCCGACGCTCTCACAGAGACGCTCGTGGAAGCTGTGCCCTGGCGGAGGGACGACCGGACCTTCCTGGCGGCAGCCGTCAGGAGAATCGATGAGTTGCTGCCGTCGTTGAGCCACAGCAATGCCGTCCAGCTGCTGATCGGCTTCGGCGCCACGAGGCGGCGCCACGACCCGGTGCTCGCCAAGCTGGTGGGGCGGATCGACCCAGCGGCTGTGGTGGATGAGAACGCCGTGGAGCTCGTCAGCGCGACCAAACGGCTCAACCTCGGCAGCGCTGGCTTCGACCTCTGTGACGCCATCTGCCGCCGCATTGCGGCTGAGGATATCTGGCTGAGCGAGAGTCAGCTGGCGGCGCTGATGCGGCTGCACGGCAAGACAAAGACCATCTCGCCGGTGCTGTTCGGCTATGTGGTGTCGCGTTGCCGGGATCGCTTTGACTTTTTCACCGAGGACGAGATCGGCGACCTGTGCCGTGCCTTCCGCGACATCAGATACCGCGACGACGCCTTCTTCAAAGTGCTCCATGAGCACCTGCCCTACCGCCTACACGAGTACAGGTGCGTTACGACACATACATCAGCTCAGCTGACCATTCGACATGATGGATGGATGGATGTCGGCCCTCCCTGCTGCACAGGTACTGGAATCTGATAGACATAGCCGAGTGCTACCAGAAGCTGGATGTGCAAGACCGGGAGATCATCACGCGTGTCGGTGTGGAGGCGTGGAAGCTCATCTTTACCCTCAAGAAGACCTACCCCGTCAAGGCCCTCACCGTGCTCAGCTTCCTCGACGCCATGGAGCCGGGCGTCTTCAGGGGCATCCTGCGGACGCTATTCGGCAGCCTGCGGTATCGCATCCCCACCGACCTGGTCGCAGAAAGTATCGTCGCCTGCCAGAGATGCGGATACACAAGTGGGTGGGTGGGTGGGTCATCAGAAGTGGGATGGATGGATGACCAGATAGCTCTGTTTGTTGTGATGCGATGCATGTGATGTGTTCCTTCTCTGTCTCGCTGTGTGTGTATGTTGCAGAGCGCAATTTGTACCACCGTCTGAGTGTGTGGCTGCAGCAGCGTGTGCGGGAGATCTCCCGTCCCCTTCTGGTGACCGAGGTGGTGGCCGCCCTGGCCAAGGTGCCATGCACCGAACCGGCCCTCTTCCGTGCCATTGGGCGGGAGGTGCAGCGCAACCCACAGCTCTACCACTTCGAACACCTTGTCTCCATCGCACGGTGAGTGAGTGCAACACACACACGTATGGCCCACAACAATGTGTGTGTATGTCAATCTGTCCGCTTTTTCCTCAGTGACTTTGTGTATCTGGGGTATTCCCTGGAGCCGTTTCTGCAAGAGCTCTGCACCGCTCTTCGGCTGCCGGAGGTGCCGACATCCTCTCCATCCGCTTTGGCGTGTGTGCCCTTCGTGTTGGGTCACTGGTCGCCGCCCCCGTCGATGCTGCCCGGCGGGACCCACCCCTACAGGGACCTGCTGGCGCTGACTCTGGAGCTGCTGGCTGCACCCAACACTTATACGCTGCGGCGTGACCTCTATGATGGCAAGGATGACGTCTGGGCAGAGGGGGAGGACAGGAGGATCAGGGATGTCCATTTCATGCCCGGCGGAAAGGTGGGCTGGGTGCCGCACACACACACACAGGGGCGTGGGTAGGTAGCCCGCCTTCATCTGCTCTTTGTGTCTGTCTCCCTGTGCTTGTTTGCATCAGTATGAGATCCTGACCGACACCAGCACGTCCGACGATGCCTCCTACCCCTCCGACTCGTTCCCGCACCAGTCGGACCTGCCCCCTGCCTCCTCCCTCCCACCATCTCCAGCCACACACGTCCGTGTCGCCCGCATCCGCGCCAAAACAGCCAGCAAGCTTGAGGACTCCCTGCCCCCCTCCCAATACGGCAGGCGAGGTCGCCGGTCATCATCCCGGCGGCAGCAGCTGGAGGCGGTTGCGACGGTGGCCTCAGAGGTGGCCAAGGATAAAGAGGGCGGCACCGGTGTGGCCAATCGGCTGGCGTGGAGCTGGGACGTGTTTGGCATGCGCGAGCCTGGTGCAGCTGAGACGCGGTTCCCCTTCACGGCTCAGAACATCCTTAGGCTGCTCAGGGGGGAGCGGAGGCAAGAAGGAACGAGCGAGGAGCCGTCCGACGCTCCAGCAACGAGGGAAGAGCCCGTCACGCCACCACCAGCCGTCGCGGAGGCCACAACGGCCGCATCTGAGGCCCCCGCCGAGCCCACCCCGCCCTCTCCCGAATCATCATCCAGCAGCACCAGCAGCAGCGGCGCCACTGTCGATGTGCAGGTGGTGGAGGTGATCAAGCGGCCGGCGCTTGAGTTCGTCAATGTAGAGGAGATCACGCTCATCATGCGGGGCCTCGACCGGCTCCGTGTTCGCCATGACGGGCTGCTGGAGCGGGTGACGGCCTGGCTGGGCCAGAGGTGGGAGGAGGTGGAGGCCTGCCACCTGACCGGCCTGCTGCACGCCTTTGGCAACCTGGGCTACTCGAGCACGGCCCTGCGGACCGTCATGGATCTGCTCGTCAAGAAGGTGAGAATATCAACCAGACAAACACAGCTAATGGGTGGAGGGAGGATGACGGTATCTGTTTTGTCTGTCTTATCGGCTTTCACTGTCAGCATGCGTCATCGCTTGCTGACAGCGAGGTGGCGGCGGCTGTGTGGGCGGCGTACACATTCGGGATGCGTGTGGACGACGAGCCATTCCAGCTGTTGCTGAGGCGATTCAGGGGCCTCGCTGTGCCGCTGGAACCGGAGCATCACCACCTCATGCAGGTGAGTGAGGAGAAATCGATCTGGACACACCAAACACACACCCACGCCATTGGCATCTGTGTGTGTGTGTGTGTATCAGGTGTTGTCTGTCGCTCTGCGTCAAGACGCGATGGAGAACATGACATCCCGGTTCCCCGATGCCGCCTACGACTTCTGCCGCTGGGTCGACGAGCACCTGCCCGGGGCTCCCCAGCTGCCCCCCTTGCCGCAGGGCCGGGCGCTCTTCCTCGACAGTGTGGGTGCCTTCCTGGACAACATCCAGGTGCCGCACTCCCTGCAGTACCGGTACTTCCCCTTTGTCATCGACGTGGCCATCCCCGACACCACCACCGCATACACCTCATCCCTCATCGGCCTGCCGCCAGAGGGACTCAGCCAGCACAACTGGATGATCCCTGACAGGCCCGATACGCTCCCCGCGGCCTCGAAGGCGCCGCAGCAGCATTCGGCTTCCAGTGACCATCACGGCGGCCACGAGCCGGCTGGAGGGGAGGGAGGCAACGGTGATGGCTCGTCAGGTGGTGGCGGCGGTGTGCCGCTGCCGGCCTTCCCGAACATGCTGCCCGTGCTGGCGACCAACGGCCCCGGGGCGCTGCGGCACATCATGAATCTGGCGAGCAAGGGCAATCAGCAGCTCAACTTCAACGGGCCGCAGGGCGACATGAACGGCGGCATGAGGAACGGGGGATTCGACGGTACGCACTCAGCAAGAGGGCAGGCACAAAGGGGGTGGGCTGAGCTGACCCCCTGCAATGTTTGTGGCCAGGTGGTTCGGCGACGATGATGGCTGGCGGCCCCACGGCGTTCGGCAGCCGTCAGGGGACGGCTCTGTTCCTGATTGACACCCCCGACAGCATCTACGTCAGGCCAGCAGAGGAGTGGAACCACGCCAACGCCGCCAGCGGCACCACACACCCTCACCAGATGACGGCATACGAACGTATCAGGTCAGTGCAGTGCGGGGATCATCCATCCGTCCATCCATCCGGGCAGGCACAAAGCGAGCAATGGCGCGGGTGCTGTGTGTGTGATGCTTTGGTTTCAGGGAGGGTGTGCTGCATCGTCTTGGCTGGCGCGTGGCCTATTTCCCCAATAACTCCCTCGACATGGGCGGTCACACCTGATGTGAGCGGCTGACTGGCTGAGTGATCAGGCTAGCTAGAGCAGGCAGAGAGTGAGAGATGTCGCTTTGACACGCGTTTTTCGTCGTCGACGATTTATGCATACATACAAGTGCGTTGGCGCCGTGCCCTGTCTACTCTACATATCAGTTGTGTTTCCTCCTCATCAGTACATTCTCCGGTTTCATAGCAGCCAATCCATGCACTTGCATGCACTTGTGTTGGCTGCCATGATGCTGGGCGCGATGAGCGTGAAGAAGACACGCAACGAGGTGGCGCGGCAGGGTGTACTGCCACATGGGTGGTGTACATGCATCCTGCTCCTATGGACGCTGGCATTCTCCGTGAGGCTTTTCCACATATTCCTTCACTGGCCAGCGTCGTACACGTCAATGACATTACACACGAGCACACAAGCGGTCACACGGATCATCCATAAGTCAGTCTTCCTGCCCCCCACTGCATGGCGACGCCATCCTACGCTCGCAGCCCCGCCCACCCACTCCCCCACCCACAGCTCCGCGCTCCATATTCCCCTCTTCACTGTCGTCGATGTCGGGGCCCTCGCAATCTCTCGGCCTCGGTGTGGGCGGCAATGTGGGGTCGACCTCCAGGGGCGAGCCGAAATAGACCGTCAGGAAGTCGGTGAAGCTCGGAAGCGGGGTGGGGGGATACTTTTGATAAACCTGAGAAGACAGGTAACAACAATGCAGGTGTGTCTCTGTGTGGTGTCATGTGTGTGGTCTCTGTGTGTGGTGTCATGTGTCGCTGTCACTGACCCAGTCAGACACCCTGATGATGGGGACGGCAAGCCTGAGCAGTGAGTGCAGCCGGAGGCGAGGGATGACATGACATGCATGAATCCATCCACTGTGTGTAGCATCCATACCAGATGAGAAACAGCGGCAGAATGAAGAAAAAGAGGCATCCTGCGATGATCAACGATACCCGATACGCTATCGGCAGCTGAATTATGGATGGAATGAATGAATGAATGAATGGATGAATGAATGAATGATGAGCCGTATTACATTTTGCCTCTTCTCACCACTGGCTTGCTCTTGAATTCCCCCTTGAGCACCAAGAAGATGTCCTCAACTCCCTGCACTGTCGCCGCGTCATAGTCACCCTTTCGCAACGCTGCGAAACACACACACACGTCTGTCTGTGTATCTGCCTGTCGGAGTCTTGGCTTCTCTCGTCATTCTTAATTACCTGGCCTCATTCGTTGTATGACATCGGCTAGGTGTTGGTTCTTTAGCGTTTCCTGCGCCCCCGTGCCCGTCTTGACGTACACCACAGAGTCGTCCTTGCTGATGAGCATCAGGATGCCGTTGTTGCACCGACCGTTGCCTATCGCCCAGTGGTTGCCCAGCTGTACCACGCCATGAGGACATCCATCAATCTCTGTCTTGTTGCTGTGCGAGTGTGTCTGCGTACTTTTTCAGCGAATCTCTCGGTGCCTGTGCCGTATCCGCCGAGTGTGTGTATCTGTTTGCGGCTCATCTGCTGCATGAGCGCCACGCCCATCTCGAAGGGCCTCTTCCCCGGACCACACAACACAGACGTTTCCGACGTGATCCGACGCAGCGTGTCTGACACCTGCTCGGCCGCCTTCCTCGACAGTATGCCATCAGGGTCGCAGATCTGCATCATTAATTGCCACACACACAGATCACATCACATTGCAGACGGAGATCTCTGCGATGAACGACAGCCTCTCTGGCTCACCCATCCGCTGGTCTTCTGTCCGCACGCGAAGGGCTGGGTAATTGGATCCGGATACTCTTCATACCGCCATGCCTTGCCATCAGCAGCGCACGCACACAGCAGCGACACAACCAGGCGCATGGCAAGGGAGAGCGCAATGTAAACACAGAGGTGCGAGCTCAAGAAGGCAGGCAATCCATGTGTGATGGAGGCAAAGAGGGAGCAGCGCGGCTGCAGTGAAGGTGAAAGTTCTCTCTCACCAGTCAGCCCAAGCAGGAGCACCTCGTCGGATGAGATCTTGGAGGACGGCGGCGGAACACACACTCACAGTGCAGAGGAAGTGAAGCAACAGGATAAAGACGACCATGGAGAGACGACACGACAGCCGCTGGTGAGTTTGGGCCCGAAGGACGGTGAATGAGGGAGGAGCCTAGGTTGCTAATGTGTTTGTGTGTGTCTGGCCATGCAGGTGCCGCAGTCACAGTGTTTCAGGTGCAAGTGTGCGCTTGACGCCTCGTCCAAGAAGCACAGATGCCGCCTCTGCCAAGAGGTCTTCTACTGCTCGCTCCGTAAGTCACTTTGGCATGCGCACAGAGCACACAACCAGATTCGTGCAGCTGTGAATGGTTGTCTGTCTGTCTGCCTGTCTGTCTGTCTGTCTGTCTGTTGACGCATAGGTTGTGCCGCCGACGACTGGAAGATCCACAAGGAGCAGTGCGAGTGCTTCAGGGAGCTGCTCGTCAAGGCGTATCCCCGCACCGTGGCGCTTCTCTACATCGGCTGGATTGACTGCGCCACGTTCGTCGAGCTGCAGAGGCAACGGGAGATCCAGGAGGTCAGACGCGCCATCGACCAACATCACAAGATGGCAGCAACACCAGCGGCAGCCAGTGGCGACGGTGACGATGACCAGCAGCAGCAGCAGCTGGGTGTGGTTCTGACTGCGCACGTACACGCACCACTGGACACTGACACGCCCCTCTACGCCCTCATGCTCGACGCCACCTTCTTCACCCTTCCTCGCCGCACCGTGCGACTGATCCGCTTTCTGCCCTTCGCTCGTGACAGCTGGGATCTGTACGACGACAAGGCGTCCTACCACAAGTTCACCTGGCGGTTCCTCAAGACGGCGGTCGAGGACTACAGTGCAGCCCTCGGCCTCCGCATTCGGTGCTTGGTGGTCGGCCCCGCCATCCCCTTGTATGACAACTGTGCCGTCACGCTGCTTGGCGGCACGGTGCGCGCCGTGCCGGCACCGGAAAGACTGTTCGCCGCCGCGTGGCATCGCGTCATGGAGGAGGTCTTCATGCATTCGGCGCCGACGTGTCGGTCCGAGTATGTATCGCCGTCCGGTCCTGACGCGAAGGTGAACATGGAGAATGGCGGCCCCCTGAAACGCCTGAAGAGGGCCGTGAAGCATGGGGAAGTGGATGCCCTCACCGAAGCTGACGAGGCATATTTCTTGTCGGAGCTCGAAGCCCTTGACGCCTCCACTGACCTTGGTACATGTCAGTCAGTCAGGGAAGGGAACCATACTATGGTGGAAAAGTGTGTGACCTTTCTTCGTCAGGTGCCCAGGGTCGGCGGCCATCGTCGTCGAACGAGGACTTCATCTATCCGCGGCTGATATCCCCTCTATGGGAGCATTTCGACGACGGCGTGCCGACGGTGACGTCGCCGTGGGTGCATCACATCGTCCACCGGTGGGCGGAGACCATGATTGGTCACTGTCAATCGAGCTGGACAAGAAGGTCGACAGGGACATATCGCGCCTGAAGGTGAGTGGCCCCCCTCCCACAGACACACACAGGCACAGCAGGAGGCACGTGACACTCATTCGTGTGTATGGTGTCCCTGCTGCCCCCCCACAGGCGGCGGGCAAGACGATGATGGACAAGAGGGCCGTGACGGAGAGCACGCTCCAGAATGTCATCAAGCGGGTCGAGAAGGAGTTCATCAACGAGGTGCAGACACTGGCTGCGCTGCCGGTGATCCCCATCGATAGATTCCTACATCTCGAGGACCGCACAGACGACACATCAGAGGAGAAGGCGGGCCCGACACCGGCAAAGTGGGAGGACACGCAGCCGGCGGAGCACCATAAGAGGGTGGAGTTCGTGTCATTCCAGGAGGCCGTCAGCGAGCTTAAAAAGTTCGAGCGCAGCCTCAAGAGGGCGCACGATGGCAAGGTGGGCGGGTGTGTGTGTGTGGTGTGTGGATTCATGCATTGATGGGATGGGTGTGTGCGTGCATGTTCTGTGTGCAGAGCACTGCGTGTCAGGGATCCCTGTCGACGGGCCTCTCGAAGATGTTTGACTACTTGGACAAGTATTGCCATTTCTCGATGTGGCCCGCTCTACTCAAGGTCTCATGCACGAACACTGAATACGCCGTGCGTCCATCGTGCACACATACATACATGTCTGTGTCTATGTGTGTGTCCTTTCTGTGTGTGTGTGGTGCAGAAGGAGACCGAGTTGTACAAGCTGATCACTCTGCGGCTCAAGCCCGGCAACAAGACACTCGTGCCGACGTGCAATGTCCTCCTGGGGAGGCTGAAAGACGCTGAGAAGGTCATCGAGACGCCACACACGCCCCTGCAGGTGTGGGCCGAGCCAAGAGGGGTGGACAGACAGACAGACAGACAGACAGACAGATAGGCGGCACGCACGAGTCTTCTTTCTCTTGTTGGTGTCAGAACAAGACAGATCGGGTGTAACTCGACATCAGCATCTCTGGCCAGCATGCAGGGCGTCTCGTCTTCAAGCTGCATTGGGACGTCACGCCGCTCACCTGCCTTAACTTCGCCTCTTTATGCAATGGCGACCACAAGGTAGGTATGTGAGTTGGCCGCCCCACCCGCTCCCACAAACGAATCCATCACTTCTGTGCTGTCTGTGTTTTGTGCTTTGCTTGTTCTGGGCTTGGCTTTGCCTTGGCTGGCGCAGGATGCTGGCAGCAAGGGGTGCCCGCTGCACTACTTGAATACGCAGATCAGTGGTGTGACGGCTGGCCAGGCCATCTACGGAGGCTATCTCGACTCGAAGGCAGGCGTCCGACGGCCCAAGGTCAGCGAGCCCGCCTTCTACTTGGAGCGGGAGAACTGCCTGATGCCGCCGAACAACCCCGGCACCCTCGCCATGATCGGCATGTGGGACAACAAGAAGGAAAAGTACATCTATGGTGAGACACACACATACACACGTGTTACATCCGTGCATCTATGTCGCTTCCATCCGTCTGTTTGTGTCTGCAGGTAGCCGCTTTGTCATCACAGCCGTGGCCCACTTCGACATGTGCGCCGGCTGCTGCATCATTGGCGAGGTCAACGCCTCCGGCCTGGCCCTCATCGACCGCATCAGCCGCCTGGGCGGGCAGCAGGCCAGCAGCAGCAGCAGCAGCAGACAGGGCGATGCCTCTGACACCAACCAGCAGGCTGTCTTGCCACGGGAGCCCGTCGTCATAGCGGGCGCCGCCTCGATGAGCGGTTGATTGGGTTAGCAGGCGACCGACCTGTGTTGTGGCTCAGATGATTTATGTGGCAGTGTCTTTACATATCTAGTATGGTGTCTGTCTATGTATCTATCTATCTATTTGTCTGGCGGACGAGGAGTGAGTGGTGTCTTGTATGAGAAATGAATGGTGCACAGGGGGTGTGGGGTGTGGTACCTCTACGACGATGACTGGCTGTGACGTGACGGGCTTTATGGATGGCCACATGAATGAATGCATGGAACACAAGTCTGAACGGTCTGACACATGTAGGCGTCTGTGCTTTCATTGCACGTCTCTGCCATTGCCATTGCCAAGCAGCCGCGAACACCACATAAATGAACGATGTACGTCGATAGATAAAGGGCCCGGCGCAAGTGCACATTTGCGCCATCAAGCCAAACGGGCAACACATGCCACTCGAACACACATGAATTCAACGCGGTGTGATCGAGGCGATTCGCCTCCCTCCGTTCCTTGCCACTCGTCCGTCAGTCAGCCAGCAAACCCAACCAGCCCGTCAGTTGGGCAGCTCGCCGCAGTCCTGGATGAGCACTGGCTCGGCGAGAGCGGCCATATCCTCACAGTCTGTCATGTCACTGAGGGTTGGCCGCACGTCGCGGTTGCGCTTGGGGGTGCTGGGGGTGCTGTTGCTGGCCGTGAGGGAGATGGCGTGCAGAAAGCTGAGGGCCGGGAGGTCGTCGATGACACCCACGACCGTGTCCCACATGGTGCACCGGTTGTTCGACGAAAGTGTTATCGTGAAGCGGCTGCCTGCAATGCACTCACGCCACGCACACATAAATAACGAGCATACAGAGAGAGTGTGAGATGTCAGCTGCGCCCAGGGCAATGCCATCCTACCATGCACTTTGTGTTTCTGGTTGCCCTTCTTGTCGGTCGCCACTTCCCCAAGACTGGCCACCATGCCAGGCCGCCGGGGTGCGATGAGGGACGTGTGGTGGTCCCATCTCGTGTGGTGCATGCCATAGATGCTCTCGGTGCAGACACTGTACCTGCGGTCGAGAAAGCCCCCAAACAGCTCGGACCCTTCATAGGCATACGGAATGACCGTGCCTGAACAAAAGCCATCCATCCATCCATCCATTCCTGCTTGTGTGTCTACGGCGCCTCTTACTGACTGACTGACTAACTGACCGACCCACCTTTGTAGTGCAGCGGGTATCCTGAGGTGCCCTTGCCCTTCTCGCCCGTGCAGAAGCACCTGACACACGAACGATCGCAGCCAGCAATGCAATCGTTGTTGCATTCGATTCATCCTTGTTGCCACATGTATGTATGCATCCACCTGAAGTTCTCGGCCGCCTTGGGGTTGACGTCGGTGAAGAGGGTGATGACCACACGCCGCACCGGGGCTGACGCACGACCACTCTGGAGATCAAGGAACACCTTCGGGCGCTGAAAACAACACATGCGCTCTGCAGACACACGTGTGTCGGGCTGTGCGTATGGTGTTCTCTTGCCTTTGGTGGTGTCGGGCTGTTGTCGACCGTTTCGGCGCACAGGAAGCCCTCCGTCATGTGCTCGTGGAAGGTGGCGCACTCTGCCTTCACCTGATAGAAAGATAGATAGATAGATATGACGGAACAAACAAAATACACATTCTGGGAGGTCGCTCTTTCTGGTGGTCTGTTTCCGCCTTACCTGTTTGTCTGGGCTCTGTTTGACTTTGAAGCAAATGGTCCTCCAGAGGTCTGTGGTCTCCTGACATCACACACAGACACAGGGAGAGATGAAAGGCCACTTGTGTGTGTGCACCGGACCTTGAGCAGCTTGGCCCAGTGAGTGTAGTCGACCTGCAGGGTCAAATACGAGTCGAGCTGGTGCAGCAGGTCCAGCAGATCGTCAGTGGCCTGGAGTGACACCACAGACATCACACCGTGCGAGTGCATCCATCCCTGTCCCCAAGCGCACATGGATGGCGAGCGCGCTCTTGATGGATCTCTCGAAGTCCCTCAGCCGCTTGACAGTCTCGGTGAGGTCGTTGGCCTGCCGCCTCTCTTCAGCCAGCCGATCGAGCACCGCCTCCTCCTTCTCCCTGGCAGTCTCTGGATCGTCGACGGACGGCAGCCGCGCATCAGCTGACGGGGCAGAGGCCAACAGATGCCCTTGTTGTGTGCATGTGTGTGTGTATGGTGTAGGCACCCGGTGGACGGCCGGTGAGGGTGTTGAGGAGCTGGTCGATGGGCTTGGGCTCGGCCGTCCTGAAGCTGTCGACGATCCGAATGAACTCAGCCACGGCGTCCCTCTCCAGTCGGCCCAGCTGCTGCTTCACCAGCACACCCTTGTCGATGGCCTTGCCCTTGGTCTGCACAACACATGTGACCCATCAGCACTGCCCTTGCCGTGCTCCTCTACTTGATGCATGGCTGACCTTGAGTTTGGCCATGTCCTGGTCGGCCTTCGCGTCAAGAGCCGTCGCGAGGACTGATGGTTTGCCTCTCAGAGCCTGCCGCACCCACTCACCAACCCACCTCTCGTCCACCGAGGGCACCAGCTGGCCGCCCGTCGCGTGACGCACAAACCGGGGCCACCGCATGGGAAGCAGTCGCGCATCGACGGGAGTCGACCAGTCCAGAAGGTGGTCTCGCACGGCTAGCGGCATCCCGCTGAATGTCTTGGTCACAACGGTTGCGAGGGCGTAGACGAGGGTAATCACGGCCGGTGGAATGACGAAGACGCCTTCATCCATCAAGTAGATTTGCGGGCTTGTCGCTCCCAAGGCCCAATGCACGACAAAGCGCACAGTGGAGATGCCCTCCCGCTGCAGGTCGCGGATGGCGGCACTGGCGAAGGACAAGAGGCCGCGCGTCACATCCTCGGTGGACGGGGGGGACGACATAGCCAAGGGCAGGAACCGAAGGGCCGGACACTCCGAAGCGCCAGATTCACCACCAAACGTCGCATCGACCACACAGACATCAGCGCCAAAACCGCAGAATAAAGAGGCCGTGTGTGTGTCAAGATGCAGATCCACTTCGCCTGGCTGAGGTCCACCGACCTCGCCAGTCGTAGCCACAGCAGATGGTGCCTCTTTGGTGGCCGCCATGCCAGCGAGGCACTTCTCGATGGCTGCCTTCTCGCGCTCCAGCTGACATGTGTGGAAGTCGGCCATGTCGAGGAAGCCGCTGAAGAGCCGCGCGACGTTCGTGTTTGCAAAAGCCGGCCTCACAATGGCGCGGAAGAGCTCACAGGGCTCCTTGTGACTCTCTTCATCCTCGCACAGACACTGCGTCGTGCAGTAAAGGATCTCGCCGCAGACTTGGCATGCGACTCGCCGGCCGACAGAGCCGCACTTGAGGCACTTGAGAGCAGCGTGGGGATGAGTCATTGACGCGTCTGACATCGGTGGGACGGCGGCGTCACGACAGATGAAGAGATGTGGTGCTCATAGAGGGTAAAAAGGCGTGGATCTGCAACGAGTGTAGACTCCTCAAGCTCAGGTCTGATTGCTGCAGCAGCGCCGGACCGCCCCAATTGCGAGCTTAGGAGGAGGAAAGGAAGGAGAGAAGAAGGGAGAAGGGTTCTGGAGGAAAGGGGGAAAGGGTTATTGCTTGTCTGCTCCCGTCGATCTTCAACACAGATGTCGAAACCCATCGATTATTCCAAGTGGGACAATCTCGATGACAGCAGCGATGAAGATGACGGCCCGCCTCCCTCGTCCGCCTCCAGGCCCGCCGCACCCTCAGCGCAGGCTGTTGCCGCCCGCCTCGCCTCTATGGCCATCGGCCGTGGACCGATGCAGCCCGCGCCACCCAGCAGCACGTCAAGCGCCGTGGACGACCGCCTCCCCTTCAGCTCCAGTGAGATGCCCGGCTACAAGGTGCGAATGGACGCCTCGACGCCTGACCCTGAACTGGAGCTTCAGCAGTGCATCGTGTGCGGCAAGCGACCTGAGCTCGGCCAGCGATTGAAGGTGTGTGACCGTTGCGTCCGGGAAGTCAGCCCCCTCTACTGCAGCGAGGATTGCCTGAAGCAGCATTTCCAGCAGGGGCAGCACACGAGGGAGATGTGTCGGATGGGCAGAGCGATGTACGTTGAGCAGGGCTCGCTGCGCGGCAATCGGCATGCCGTCAGGTAAAGAAATGAGAGGAAACATGGCGAGTGGCAATCATTGTGATGTCTTCCTACATAGGTACCTTCTGGGCTGGATGACTGAGGACGCATTTTTCAAGCACCAGCGTCAGAAGCAGCAGGAGATACAAGACGAGATAGCGGCCTACGGTCGCCCCTCGCATCTGAAGATGAGCGTGAGCGTGTTCAACACCGTCGACTTCGCTTTCGGTGTTGTAGAGTTGGCGAGCAGCTTGGCGGAAGGCCATGCACTTCTCCGCCATCCCCCTGCTGACACCGGTGGAGTCTTTTACCCCGATTGCGTTATCTATCCCAGCTATCAAGTCTTCCCTATCGCTTGGCGTGAGGTGAAGGAGCCCACGGGTCCCGTTCTGGAGGTCATGCTGGCCGAAAGGATCGTCATCGTCATGTCGAACATCATCATCGCACTGCTGGCGCTGACGGCGCGCTGCCTAGGGGTGATCGGCAAGCAGTACGTCGAGGGCGACGTTAATGCCCTGTTCTGGCGCAAAATGACCTGCCCTCTGCCCATGGGCGACCGCACTGCGCACTTTTACTTCATCCCTGCACCATGCGGCGTCGTTACAGATGCCCTGACGTACGCCGCGAAAGAGGTCTTCAGCGATGAAGAGGGGCGGGAGATAGATGCGCTGGTCAGCGGGTCCGCTTTGGTGCGGACAGGTGTAATGACGCTGCAGCAGCGGGTGATGCGGGACGAATGGCGAAGGGAGATCGAGTGGGAGATCGGCGCCATGGACGGCATGAGCGACGCCATTGACGGCATGTGTCAAGAGTACGCTGCACAGGTAGGTAGAGAGGGGACACACACACACTTCATTGGCGCATGGTCTGTTGTGCGTGAATGCAGCGAGGCATCCAGCCACGAGCGCTCAAAGCCGCCTTCATCGACAAGGCCGTTGCATTCACGGACGTCTTCAGGCAAGTAATTACTGTACACTCAATGCACACGACACAAATGAATGGATGGATGGACGGACGGAGTGTTCTGTTGTGTGTCTGAGAGCAGGCGGCACCTGATTGAGTATGCCGACGGCATGGGAGAGATAGTCGGGAAGTCCTTTGCACAGCTGACCGAGCTGACCGACGACGAGATGCGGCAAATCAAGGCTGAGGTGGCGGCTGCCGAGTACCCCGCCGACATCCAGGAGCTGATCGCAGCCGAGAGTCCGGCATATGCAGAGGACGTGGACGGGCCGATAGTCACTCTGGCTGATGGGAGGCGGACCTGTGAGATGGACCTGCTACTGAGGACTCAGGGGCTGCTATGACTCAACTAGCGGCTGGAGTGGAGTGTGTGTGCGTTGTGATGGCTGGGTGACGGACGCCTCCTCAGCCCACACAGCGACGTGCTAGACAGCCACATGCCCTTGTGTGTTTTCGGCTGATGAGACCTGAGTGGCGCATTCTCCTGACGTGGTCAATGTCTTTCCTGTCTCCTGCTTGTGTGTTCATTCCTCAGCTGCGATGACACGGGTGAATTCACTAACCGTCAGGACCATTACGTGTGTGAGTGCAATGGGGCCTGGGTTCAGACGTAGGGATGAATTAGGTGGGTGGGTGGTCAATGAATGAAGTCTATCAGAGTGCTCATTGAAGACGATTTGTGATATCATCAGCGACTGTCGTGACAGGCGCTTCATGTTTTCGCGAGGCCACTTAAAACGAAACACACGATTTGACATGAATGAATCAAGTCAGCATTGTCTGCACGCACGCACACAGCAGGGCGAGACTCGCCAGCACAATTGTGTGTCATTGGTTGAATTGCAGGAAAAAGGACAATTACATGCAGCCACTTTACCCCCTACCAAGGACCCTCTTCCTCTCCTCCCTTCCTCCCTCTCCCTGTCAGTCAATGCCCAGCGACACAAACAGGCCAGTCTGCCTGTCGATGTGCCCCAGCTGTTGCCATGCGAATTGGCAGTCCTGGTCGCCCAGATGCTCGTTGAAGCCCTTGACCACACCCACCACACCATGGCTGGCCGCCTCGTCCAGCCGCGCCTTGTGCACCACCTCACGCAGCCCCAGACGGCCGGCCGTGTGCACCACATGAGGCGGACGGCTGTCGGCCCCATCAGAGACGGCGAAGCACTGCAGCGGCACGCGCACCATCACGCCGCCCAGACTGCCCGTCACGCCCACCACCTCCCTGTTGCTGCTCGCATGCAGCGCCGACTTGACGAAGTGGGTGACAGCCGCACGCACACGCCGAAAGAGGCGGCTGTTGCGTAGGGGGATGCTCTCGTCGATGGCCGCCATGGCCGCGTCGATGTCGAAGAGGTATGATGCGATGCGCCAGGCGAAGACTGGCGCCTCCTGCGGGCCGACGGCCAGCCGGGGGGTCAGCAGGGCCGCGAGTGAGCGCTGGGGGGCGAGGGCGGTGTTGATGGCCGACATGACGGCCTCGGACAGCTCATTCAGCACTGTCGCATACTCGGCCAGCACCCTCCGTTGACAACGACGGTGCTGCACCTCGGTTGCGGTGGGCATGCGGGCGATGGATGGGACCGCCCCGCCCCGCAGCAGCACACGGATGACGGTCCTCTGCTCGTCGATCCGGTCTGCCTCCCGTCGCTGGACGACCTCGTCGAGCGTCCTGGCAGCCTCTGCTAGGGGTGTCAGGTTGGCCCGGTTCGGCCTCCCTCTGTTGACGTCGTCGGCTGTCAGCTGGCGGCACAGCCAATGAGCCACACAGGGAGAGCCGTATCCGGCCGCCTCGTGCAGTGGCGTGCGGCCGAAGTTATCTGTTGCCGTCATGTTGACCCTGCGGCTGGTGATGAGGGTGAGGTACTCGTCCATGAAGAGCTGGGAGAAGGCAGTGTGTGTGGCAAAGTGCCTGGATGCCTCATGCACCAGATTCTCTCCGCCAACGGACCGCTCGGCTGCGAGGGTGCTGTCGTGTTGGATGAGGCGACGGAAGACCGACATGAGGGCCGCCTCGTACTGGCAACTGACGGGGCGGGCAGCGTAAGGGATGTAGGGAGGCCTCATTACCCTGACTCCTCGCACGTTGGCCTGGCGCGACAGGAGGGCCTCCACAGCCGTCAGATTGCCCGCACGAATCGCCATCTTGATGGGCCTATCCGTCGACCCCTCCGTCAGATTGGGGTCCGCATTGACGTCCGCCCCTCCGTCGACGAGTGCATTGATGATGTCACGCTGTAGCTGACGGGAGGACCACTGCGGCAGGACGACGGGCACCTCCTTTGGGTAATCATCGCCGCGCGCATAGAGGGATGGGATGTTTGTTGGGCTGTCGATGGCGAAAGACAGGCAGCTGTATCGACGGCCAGCGGTGCCTGCGGTGCCACGGACGCGCAGGCCGCCGGTGGCTCTCGGGTCGGCTCCTTGCTGGATCAGCGACGTGACATAGGAGGCCTCAGTGAAGCTGCGCCGAATGCAGCCCTCCAACAGCTGCCCACTGACAGTCGTGACTCCCTCATCGGGCAGGAAATCGACGTCGTCCAGCCCCTTGCAGCCGGGCGACGGGGCGGCAGCATGAGGTGCTTGCGACGAGGCAGACGACGGCTGGGCCATCACGCAGAGTCACACACACCTGCATACACAGACACAGACACACACAGTCTCTTATTCATCATTCCCTCCCTCTTAAGGTGCTGACGCACCTCTCTCCTGGTCGGTCAGTCGACGGCCGCCGATCACTCAGACAGACAGCAATGCCATCAGTCGGCCCTGCATGCGTCACAGAAAGCAGAGTCACCCACGTGCTTGTCCATCGTCGGAATCTGCCCGCGTGTGCCTCGCCTCAGCCTGCGGTATGTGCAAGTGATCGCATTCAACAAAACAGGCCCGGCCGATGCCCTCGTGGTAACGCATTTGCGTGCTGTAGCGATGCTCAGGGGGCGCGCGAGCTGCGGAGGAAAAAGGAAACGTGAAACGGATGGGCCGGAAGGCCCTTCCTTCCCTCCCCTCTCTCGTCGCGTGAAGTGTACTTAAAGTGATGGCGCATATATCGGTGGAGGCTCTCATCAGCGGTGATGTCGAGGCCATCTTCGCTGCGCGTTCGGCCTTCCTCACCCACTGCCAGCGCCACGGGCTCCAAATCATTTCAAAGTGGCGCTCGCTGGACCGCCCCTTTCTCCCCACCCGACGCCAGTTCGCAGAACTCATCGGCGTGCCCCCAGAAGTAGCCCTGCCTGACTTCATCCCCGACGATCCTGACATGCCCTCCCTCTCCCCCTTCTGGTGGTTCCCACAGGCATGGCAATGGCTCAGCGGCCATGACGGAGATGAAGACGCTGCCGGCAGCCACAACCAGCAGCAGCAGGACAGAGTGGAGATGCTGCATGTGCTGGGTGGGCTGGCCATCACACTCCCCTATGACCTGCCCACACGCATGCGGGCCCTCTTTGAGATATTCGACTTCTCCGATCTCGACGGCACATCGCACGAGGCGGGCATTGACGAGGGGGAGACGGGAGACGAGGTGTTCGGTCCGCGGCTGCTGATTGGAGGGGCTGGGCTGTTCATATTGTTGGAGAGGAGCCTGACGGGATTGAGCAAGCTGTGTGAGCTGCCTGCAGGGATGCTGCCGCTGAAAAGGGAGGAGATTGAGGCCATTCGGGACTATCTATGGCCTGCCGGTGAGTGGGGAAGACGGAGACAGGAGACACTCATTCTGGCGTGTCTGTCGTGTTATGGATCCAGGTGCGAGTGACCCCACGGCCCGCACATCACTCCTTCGATTAGCGCCGCGATTCATCCCCCTGCTGAGGTCACTCAGCAGCATCCTCTACCAAAAGAGCAAGGTGGGCCCATGTGCCAACAAGGCTTGTCTCTATTGTACCTTCAAATGTTGCTCGCGTGTGTCTAATATCAGATTCTCGAGAGCTGTGGCGGCATCTGTGGTAGCCGGGATGAGGTGCTGCCCACCCTGCAGACCGACGCGCACTTCCTGGGAAGATATCGAGTCATCGCAAGGTAGGTAGGTAGACATCCATGCCTCCCTCCCTCTCATGCCCGCTGTATAGTCCTCTTTTCCCTCCCTGCATTCACGCAGGGAGCGGCTCCCCTCCGGTCTCGCCGATGTGTTCCTCACTCCCTGCCCCGTCGCCTCGTCGGCATCCCCCGCCGCGCCCCCCTCCTCCCCTCCACCGCCCATCCTCTTGTCGGACCCAGCCACATATGCATCATCGACGGCCCCGCCCCCCAGCCACAAGGAGCTGATGCTCGATGTATACGACGAGATGGATCTGCGGGGGCTGGCCATCAAGGTGCTGCTGCCACTCGACAGCGACCCCGCACAAGACGCCAGGAACTTCGTGAGGGAGGCGGCGCTGCTCTCCAAAGTCAGACACAGGTAGGTACGGAGAGAGATGTTTAGGTGTCGGTTGCTTATCCGTCGGTGTGGTGTGTGGCGGGTGTGGTGTATGTCAGGCGGTGGGCGCCGGTGCATGTGTATGGCGTGACTGCTCGGCTGGTGTACCAAGTGCGGGAGAAGGAGGAGGGGTGCACACTGGCCCAGCTCTTGCAACAGCGGAGGCAGAGCTCAAATCAGGGAGTAAGGGCGAAAAATGGACGACATGCGGGACACGAGGCTCTCGCTTTCATGGCTACATCCATTCAGCTGCCGGAGATGGATGTGGTTGAGTTCTTGCTGTGCTTGCTGGATGTTTTGGAGGTGGCCCACACAACCGGGGTGGTGCACACTGCCCTCACGCCACACAAAGTCTTCCTCAAACACGGGTAGGACTGGACACCTACGGCTGGAGAGGAACGATGGACATTTGTGTCTCTCTTCTTTTGCCAGCTCCTTGACGGAGCCGATGATTCTCGACTGGAGCTCCGCCAAATGGGACCCCCAGGAGGTGCTTGCCAACACTTCGTCACTCCTCACGTACACACAAGAGATAGCATGGGTATGCACACCCCCTGCAATGCGCCTGGTCTCGGTGTGTGCAGTGGCATGCCTGAGGCGACTGACCACCGCGATCCGCGCTACATCAGCCCGCAGCAGTGCCAGGGAGCAGGTGATACATACCCGCCAAAACAGTCACTTCACCATGACGGATGTGTCTCTGTGTCCACGGCACTCCTTAGGTGGTGAGTCCGATCCCTCCTGGGACATCTATAGCATCGGTTGCATCGGTCGGTGGATCAGTGAGTTGACATGGCAGACCGGGAGCGTGCTGCAATCCTTTATTGCTCTATGTGTGTGTGCAGCCTTTGAATGTGTGACGCTCACGCCACCATTCACCGGCACACGGCTCACTGATGCATACAGAGTGAGCACAGGACGGCTTGGACTCTTGTTGGCCTTGGACTCTTCTTGCTGGCTGCCTGTCTGCCAGCTGTCCCTAGGTGACCGTCAGAAGCACAGTGCCATCCTTGCGGGCGATGCTGCCTCGGCCGAGAGGCCCAGCAGCCGCAGACGGACGTCGGGCGCACAACAGTGAGAGACGATGAGACACCAGATCACAAAACCACAGACACTGGAGTCTTCGGTATGGTATGGTATGGTTTGGTGTGTGCAGGTCGCCAGGCCAGCCGGATGGGGGCACACGAAAGAAGACCGTCACTCTGCAAGAGGGCATCAAGCTGGTCGGCATCTGTGTCCGGCCACATGAGCATCTGTGTCAATTCTTCCCTCTCCGGCCTGTCTCAGGAGCATGTGTACCTGCCGCCTCCCAGCCTGGAGCAGTGCCTGACGTCATCGGACTTCGTGGGCATCGTCAACAAGGCCCTGCAGAAGGAGCCCAGGGGCAGGTACCTCACCGCCACCGACATGATCAGGGACCTGCGCATGCTGCTGGAGGAGCTGCAGAACCTCCCACCACTCATGCAGGAGACACTGCCGCACCTCAAGCTCGCCAACCAGCAGCAAGAAGCAACCGTGGAGACCCTTCCCCTCTCCCTGCCGCCAGCACCGGGTGGTCAGCCTGCGTTGACCGACCTGAGTGTCCCTGGCCCGCCATCGCGTCAGTCGAGCGATGACGAGGCAAGAACGGGCTTCGCCAGAGTGCTGGACCTGAGGTGAGACATGCCATCAGAAACAATGAGACAACAGTGCGTACTTATTATGAGTGTTGTCGTTCAGGAACGAGGGTCTGACGGCGTTCACGTCCCGCTATCTCGCCAAGTTCGCCAACGCCCTCCTCGCCGACGAGCTGCACATCACCGGCGGGCCCATCCCACTCCGGGTCATCAGGCAGGGCGAGTCGACCTCACTCAACCTCAGCGACCGATCGCTGGCGGCGCACGACACCATGGTGCTCGCACGCCTGCTCGCACACAACTCCACCATCGAGCACCTGGACTTGTCCAAGAACTGCGTGGCGCACGAGAACGCGGCCGAGCGTCAGGCGCATCCTCATATGTATCGTGTGGAGGGGCTGGCGAGGTTGGCCGAGTCGCTGCCGTCGCTGCCGCTGCAGGTGCTGAATCTGAGCGAGAACCCGCTGGGAGGGCAGGTGGGAGAGGTCATCTGCAGGGCTCTGGGCAAGTGCCCAAATCTGAGGGTGGGTGGGTGATATCGAGACACTCTGACAGAGTGCATTAGAGATGTAATGTGTGCATGTGTGCATGTGTGTGTGTGTGCGTGATTTAGTCTCTTCATTTGGGTCACTGTGACATCATGTCTCGCGGCGGCGTGGCATTGGCCGAGTCACTCAAGCACCTCACCATGCTGGAAGAGCTGGACATCAAGTCAGCGAGACACAGAAAGACACAAACACATTGCAGACAATGCAGCGGCCTTTCTCCTGCCTGCCTGCCTGCCTGCCTGCGTGTCAGCCACTGTCACATAGGTGATGACGGGTGCAAGGCTTTGGCGAGCAGCCTGGGTGCGTCACCTCACCTGGCAACCATCAACCTCTATGGCAACAGCATCGAGGACGAGGGCGCTGACGCACTCGTGTAGGCCGGGCGGCTGCACATGTTCCGACAGAGACAGAGACAGGGAGACCAATGTGCGTGCGTGTGTGTGGTGCAGGAGTGCGTTGGAGCATGACTTCACTTTGCTGACCTTGCCGCTTGGCGACAACAGGATATCGAGGCCATACGAGCAGCTCATACAGAGGGCCATCACATTCAACAACCAATACAAGGTGACTGACTGACACACACAGGAGTGAGTACCTTATATATTCCTTGCTGCGTGGAGTGCATTCTCCACCTCTCTCTGTGTGTGTCTTTGTTCAGTCTTTGTGTGAGCACAACTCTCGCTTCGAGGGCTTTGGTCACCACCTCATGGCCGAGTCACTCAAGGCATGGGCCAGAGGGTACACTCACACACACGGCGCACGACAGACGCCTCATTTGTCCGTCTCCGTTGCTGCAGTGACACCTTCATTGCCAAGCGGCTGCACACACGCCTATTGCAGCCCAAGGACCCACTCGAGGAAGAGGCAAACACCACAGACACACACACACATGCGAAGAGACAGAGAGACCCGTTAATGGTATCTGCTGCCGTGTCGCTTGTCATTGGTTTGACCAGGTTGGTCGTCTGCTGCTGACGTCCGATAATGCTTTGGTGTTGGATTCTGCCTTTGAGATGTACGCGAGTGCCAGGGTCAACGGGGGGGACCCTGCCAGCCCCTTGCCCCCCGCAGCACTCGTGCAGAAAGTATAGCTCACCATCCGGATGGGGGTAGCTGGGCTGGTGTGTGTGACGCGTGAGAGCAGTAGACGTGGAACAGAATGTGTGTATGGTGCACAGCCGTGTCATTGGCTGGATGAATTCCATGTGCATACTAGTCCATCCGTGCGAGCGTGTAGTGAACCCTTGCACGAAAAAAAGACACGTCCGTGTGTCCATGCAGGTCCATCCATCCATCCATCCATGTCAATGCACACGTACGCATGTATCTCCCCACGGCATGGTGTGGCCTTCTACATACTCGGTGTCTCAACTCAGGTCTGCGGGTCTGAGCGGTCAAGCCGGGGAGACGTCCGGGGAGAGACATATGTGCTCATCTCGAGAGGGGCGTGTTGGTTGCGGGCGGCCATGAACGCCCATCGGGGGTATCGGGCCTCCGTGTAGTTGAGCTGCGGAACCGGGCACACGATGACACCACACAACACAACACGACACCACAGACGCACGTGAAAACAAAAGCTGTGTTGGTGTCTCTCTCCTGTTGTCACCCACCTCGCCATTCTGCTCCTGGGACAGGCCAGCCGGCTCCTCATCGAGGTCTCCCGTCTGCGGGGCACCCTCCCGCTCAGCTGCCGCCCTCACCTGCGGGTGAGAAACAGACAACGATCCCTACACGTGTGTGTGTGATGATTACGGCGGCGTCGTGCAGGTTGAGTCGCAGAGAGGGCAGGTGGACTTGGTCACCAACCACTCATCCAGGCAATCCACTGAACACACACACACACACACACAGATGGGTGCAGGCCTCGGTAGATTCTTCGGTCTCTCTGTCTTGTGCAGTGTACACTATACTGTGGAATGCATGGCCGCACGAGTTGATGCGCCTGAAGGACACCAGACAAGAGAGAGAAAGAGGGGATGCAGACGTGCAGCAGGTATGTATCTCTGCGTGTGTGTGTGTGTGCGCTTTACCGCAGTGTGTCCCCGGCGTACATCAGATCATAGCAAACAGCACACATCTACATACACGGATCGATGCACACACACATCAGATGCAGCAATCGACCCGCAATCGACTCATATGAACAGTGGCGTCATGACGTCTGTCTGCCATCTTTTGCTCCTTACCTGGTCGCTACTGTCCCTCCCATCAGGACCCCCCTTCCCCTCTCCCCTCCCCATATCCGATTCACACGCACCCGCAGCCCCCTCCACCGCCTTATCGCCCTCCGACGCCGATACCCTCTCACCGCCACTGTGTCCACTACTACTGCTGCTGCTGCTGCTGCTGGTGGTCGTGGTGGTCGTGCTGCTGGCGGTCGACGCGCTGAGCTGCGGCTGGCCGCCCGCCGCCCCCTTGTCCTTCTGTGCCGTGGGGTGGTCCTTGGTGTGGTGTGCGAACGTCTTGGCCGACTCGTCTGCGATGGGGATGGTGGAGCTGGTGGGGAGGGGCCGGACGGAGAGGGAGGCCCTGCAGGTCCGACGGGTGGCACTTGGACAGCAGGCGGTTGATGATGGCGGCCCCCTGCACCACTATAGAGGTCGACCGACGAATCTCACTGCAACAAACACATCCACAATACATGTGAACAAAGAGCACTCGCTGTATTCCCTGTTCCCTTCGGTCGTGCGCTCTTACGCACTCGAACGTGGGTGTGCGGCCGGCATCGCTGCTCCCATTGTCAACCGGCACATCCTCCGTGTCGTCAAACATCGGCCCGTCCCACTCTTCACCCTCGATGTCCTCTTGGTCGTCGACGAAGAACGCTGTCCCGCGTTCTTCGGGTACACCTGGCCGCCCATATGGCCACAGTACATATCCCTGAGAGGACTGACTACTGGAGGGGTCGGCCGGTGCACCGCGGACCACCGCGTACTGCTGGTTCTCTGGCTGCGGTGGAATAAAAATGAAATCCTCGGGGATCTGCTGGAGGGGAATGCGGGATGGCGATGCGCTCCCACTACCAGACATCGCGGCCGTCAACTACCAGCAGCCACGGTCACCATTCCACCTGTAAATTTGCGCTTGGGGGCCAAGGGGGGCGTCTCAGCGTCTGGGATGCTTTAGAGGGCAATTGTTCAACAAAGTTGCGGTCTGCTCACTGGCAACCCTATGCCTTGCCCACCCCTTGAAGATCTCAGCTGCCGTGAATGCCAATGCACTGCCAGGCTCTCAAAATGCATGCCGCATCCGCGAGTGTGCTCCCGGCTTCCTGATCTCACCGAAGTCAACTCGTCATCCGTCCTTGACTTCATTTGCACTGTGCCTGTGCCCCTTGAGTGGCGAAATCGCCTTCCGAAGGATGGGGGTCTGAGAGGCTCACACGAGTTGGTGCTTGGCATGAGGGCGAGAGAGGAGCCAGCCCGAGAGCTGTCAGAAGAGGAGCTCGAGACGTTCAGCGATGACACACCATTTGACAAGAAAACCCTGAGGATTTGTCTGACGTCCATCGAAGGGGAGGCGCTGCCTACGGAGGAGAACTACCTGTTCATCACGCCTCACGCCGGCAACGACGAGACGGGCAGTGTGTTTGTGCCAGCTCCAGAACTTGGCGCGGCAAGTCCTTCCCTCGGGACAGGTCGTGAGCGGAAGCGCACTCTTCATTTCTCTTCTCTCATGGCTCGACTCTTTCGGCAAGGACGGATGGGGCTGCGCCGAGGTCACCCTCTTCGATAATGCCAGCAACAAGGCCCTCTATCTCATCACCAACTACGCTACGTAAGTTCCACGGCGGCTGCTCTCCACAGCCATTCTCATGCTCTCGTCGTGTCTCTGTCTCGGCGTGTCCATTTCTTGCAGGGCTCTGGTACGGCTCGTATGGGTTCCAGTACTCGAACAGCCCTTTCATCACGGAGAGTACACGGCGAGGCGTCAAAGAGCTGGCGACTGGGCTGGCGAGCGACGAGAATCTCTTCTCCATCCTCAGGTCGGTGCAGTCCTTCGAAGAGCTCACGTCTGTCATCCCAATCGCTTACGGTGACCTGGGGGCGCTAGAGGCCATGGCACATACGTGTGTCGAGAGAGGCGAAAGACTCCCCGGCCCTGCCCCACCAGCAATCCCCCGCTCCAGCAATGTCGGCCTTCTGCTGTCACCGAAAGCCGCGATCCACAGAAGCTATCCTCCCAGAAGCTCGGCTCGGCCCTTCGGGCCTCACCTTCGCAAGCAATGCCAGTCGATCGAAATCTACGACAAATATGCAGAGGGCCTGCGATATCTGGCGGCACAGCAGACAGACATACCCTTGGGCCACAAGTTTGCCAAAGGCCTCGTCCTCGCATTGCCGTTCAACACACAGTTCGTCCAGTCCACGCCCCTGGCTACGAGGACACTAAGAGACATGAACCAGTACACCATTTCGGAGTTCTTCCCAGAACCCGAGCGGACAATACTGAAGCCGAGACGGCGCAGCGGAGAGAGGAGGGAGAGGGCTGTGACAACAGCCGGGGTGAGCGAGACAAGGCCACGGCGGGGGTGTGTGAAGAGAGTACGGGGGGAGGAAGTGGGGACAGAGCCTGGCACCAAGAGGGGCAGGAGGGGAGCCTCAGGCAAATTGTGAGGACGGTCTAGTATAAGTGGAGAATGAGACTTCATGTCTGAGTGAGGGAGACTAGGTCTTTCTTTTGATTGCGCAAACACTCGGGAGCGAAAGGCGATGTTATCCATTCTGAGAGCAATTCCATTCAACGAACCTTGCAGCGCTTGAATATGGGTCATGATCCAGTGTCATCTCGCATACACATATGAACAGTAACGAGGTAGGTGAGACGTCGTGTGACTGTTCGAACCCACACACCATACCCAACCACACCAGTGTCCTTTCGGATCTGTTCCCTAACTAATCAATCGCCCGCCCGCTCAACGAACACTTGTCTGCCCAAGTTCTACCGTCTCCCCATTCTGTCGCTTCACGAAGTCAGCCAGCCAGCCAGCCATCCGGCCACCGCCACCCACATCGGTCAGTCAGGTCATGATGCGACGCCGTTGTCGACCGACGGCCGCCTCTTGCTGCTATACCGCTGCTTGGCCTGGTCGTTGATGATGCATAGGTGCTCCAGGTCACGGAACATCTCATTGTAGTCGAGGCTGAACCCGACAACGAATGCATCTGGGGGGACAGCAGGACACAACACACACATGACACAGCAACAGAACAGGCGCCACACAAGTCTCGCAGGGACGCTTCTTCTGGCTGACCAGGGCATGAAAATCCGACAAAATCGCCGCGGAAGCCGTTCGACTTGTCGGTGCGCTTCTCGAGGAGGGAAGCGATGCCAATCGACTTGGGGCCGATGGCCCGCAGGTAGTCGCAGAACTTGGTCAGCGTATTGCCTGAATGGACCACAATAAGTAAAGGACACACAGTGTGGTTGTGATGCGCCGCCCAGCCCAGCCCAGCCAAACCAGGCCAGCAACCTGTATCGATGATATCTTCGACGATGAGAACGTGTTTGTTCTTGAGGATTGACAGATCCTCTGCTATCACTTCCAGCTGGCCGCTGCTGTCGGTGCCGACGTACGAACGCAGACGCACATAGTGCTCCTGCAGGCAAAGCGAAGCGACCACACAGGCATGCACAGGCACAGCAAACGTGCCATCATGTCATCCATCCATCCATGAGTGTGTGTGTGGTGTGTGTCGCTGGCCCACCCACTTACCATATATGGCGGTGAAGTGGCGTATGGCCTGCCGTACATGTGTATCTTGTTGAGGTAGGACAGCAGATGGTTGAAGAAGCCCCGCGACCCCTTGAGTATGCACAGCACATGCAGGTCCTGGTCGCCGTAGAAGGTCTTGATGTCATGCGCCAGCTTCTCGATGCGGTCCAGAATGAAGCCAGCTGGGATCAACACACGCTCCAGGTCAAGCTGGTACTGCACACACCACACACACACACACACACACAGAGAGAGAGAGAGAGATGAATGCTCTGCCTTGTTTCTGTCTGCTGTGTGTATGTGGTTGTGTGTCGGCCGCCCCGCGTGTGTGGTATGTGCGTACGTGTGACGGGAGGAGGAAGTGGCTCAATGCGTAGCCTGTGTCGTCGCTTATGTACACGGGCTCAGATCTGCCCTCTCCGCTGCCGGGATTCTGCAGCGTCGGACGATGCTTGCTCGAGGGGGGCTCGGAATACATCACGAGGGGGGCTGCCTGGCACTGCTTGTTCTGTCGGCTGATGGCGTCGCGCTCACCGTCCCCTTTCCTTCTTCCCTTTCCTTCACAAAATGCGAGCTTGGTAGCTCGCAAAAGCCGATCCGCCTCTCTCCCTTTGGTTTTTCCCCTCTTCCCCTCTGCCCGGGCAGACCTGGTGTTTGCCAGTGGGACAGCAATCCGTTTTCGCCAGCTCTCCGTCGATTTGTGCCGAGCAGGTCAGACGGGAGGGCTGACAAGCGCCACGGGGATGGATGCAGCTGCAGGGGAGCGTGGCATTGTATCCGTTCGTGTTCAGATCTGTAGCGTGTCCGCCGTATCCTGCTGACCTTGCTTCTCGGGACGACGGAGATGAGTGAGTTCCCTCTTGCTGGTGCAGCTGCGGCTGGCACCAAGGGAGGGCCCAAAGGAGATGCCGGCAATACGCAGGTACACGGACGCATGACAGTTTCCGATCTGCTTGTCCGTACAAATACCATATCTGTTGGTGTTGGTAGGTTGGTGCTCGTCTTGTGTGTGACGACGGGCATCTTATGGTTCGCGGCGACGACTACGATGCATGGAGCAACGCGACAGTGCCGCAACAGGCCGACAAACTGGTGAGCGCACACAGTGAGGACACAGACAGGCAGAGGGGCGCGGTTGATGTGTGGTTTTGGTCTCTCCAGGGCGCTGCGTTGAAGACGGCTCACATCGTTGCCGGCAAGAAGCATGTCGTCCCATTCCTGGGTGGGTACACATTCAACACACCACCAGCGCCGCTCACCATTGCCCCCGCCACACACATGACTGTAGGCAAGTGCCTGGAGGGTAGCTGTAGCACACTGACGTCGGTCAAGATAGAGGGCGAGAGCGATAGAGAGGAGCGCGAGTACGAGGCAGAGGAGGGCACTTCCCCTTTGGTATTCGAGCACGTCAAGACCCTCACCGTCACCAGCGAGCCGTGGCTGGAACACATTGGGTGCGTGGGTGGGGCTGGCGTGGGCTGGCTGCAGGAGTCTGTATGGGAGTGTGCACATCCATCCATCGTGTCTCGTGTGTGTGTGTGTGCTGTCCTTTCAGTCGCCGTCTGTGGGTGTTCCCCAATCTGACGCAGCTCCACGTGGGCACCATCTCGGCCACCAACACCGCCTTCACCGCAATGTGCGAGATCGTCAAGGCCGCCCCCGCCCTCACCTCACTCGACGCAGACCACATCAACTTCACATCGTCCAAACACTGGCGCACATTCCTGGTCAGTGGTGGAAGACACAATGAATGCGCACATAAACTGTGACCTGAGTGCACTCTGTCTTTCCTTCTGCCATCTGTGTGTGTGTGGTGTGCAGTGCTGCATCGCCCGTTGTCCTATGCTGACGACCATCACGGGCCTGACCATCTCAGCGCACCCTGGTGCGGGCGGCATGAAGGCCGGTGTTGCTGAGGAGGGTGTACTGGGTCACTGCCCCTACCTGACCACCACGTCGGGCATCGCCATGGATGTGGCCGCCACCGTCGAGGACACCATCGACCTCTGTGGCCTCAAGCAGGCACTCGACGCAAACTGGACCAAAGACGACATGAAAGGTGCGTTCGTATACATGGGTGCACAAGAGAACCGCCAGACAAAGTGTGTCTGTGTTCGTGTCGGCGTCAGGCAAGGCCAAGAAGCTGGGCCTCGTCTACGAGCCGACGATAGGAGTGGCGTACGGCGCGAGCGAGGCCGCCTTCATCTCGTGGGCGCAGGGCGTGTGTGAGGTCGACTGGCGCTCCAACAGCCTGGCCATTGACTGCAGCAAGACACCCACCGACACCACACAGATGACCACCGCCGTGCCACACAACGTCGGCAAAGTAGTCAAGGACATCGCACACAGCGTCAAACAGGTGAGGGACCTACCGACACACACACACACACACACATACACACACACGCCCGCCCGCCCGCCCTGACAGACAGGAGAGGCGAAAACAGGCTCTCGGCCCGCTCTCCCTCTGTGTGTGTAGGTATACGTTTCGTGTGGCGGGACGGCAGTCGGCGAGTGCTGGCAGGACATCCTGACCTTCCCGGCGTGCGACGAGCTGCACATCAGCGGCAAGGGCGCATCGGGCGACGGCGTGGCCAACAGCGTGCCCGACTGGATGGTGCACAAGGGCGAGAACGGCAACAACCGCTGCCTGCCGGCCGTGTCGTCACTTCACGTGCGTTTCGACAAGCTGACGGCCGAGTGGTCGCCGGGCGGGGGAAAGTTGTCCCAGCTGATGGGGGGGCTACATTCTGTGCAGTGCGTGTCCCTGACCTCCGACCGCCTCACCGCTGCCTGCGACTGCCTGTCATTCCTCTCTGCTGACAAACGCCCTCTGGAGAATGTCCTCCTGTCGCTGCCCTCTGACGTGCAGGGGCTGCCCGATCCCATAAGCAGTCCGACGGATCGCTGGCAGTTCCCGGCCATCGCTCATTTGACGGTGACTGCTGGGGTGGGCAAGGCGTGTGTGCAGTCAGGCCTGCATGCCGTGCCAGTTATTGGCGCGTCGTGCGTCGATTTCGAGGGCGTCGTGTTTGTCAATGAGTTTTCCGACGCTGTGTTGGGCATGAAGGCGTTTGCCCTGGATTGCTTCACCCAGGTGCAGGAGGTGTACGGCCTCACGCACATGGAGTGTCGCAAGAGCGGCCCGCATGCCGTCCTCAAGATGAAACTCTTCCGCAAGACAGAGGGGCAGAACTAGACTGACACGCCACACACCACACACGCACTCGTTTCGTGTGGATTAGTGTAGGAGGGGCCACGGAGGGAGAGGGAGGGAGGGAGGGAGGGAGGGAGGAGGGTCATTTATCGACATGCATTCTTGTTTGGATGGATGGATGGATGGATGCGTGTGCGGTGGCTAGCTGTCTAATTCATGACACGGCACGGCTCAGCGAGATGACCATGGGTATTTTTCTGTGGACTGCGGGGTTCCTTTATCCACGGGAGGGGAGGGAGGGAGGGTGGGCGCTGTACGGTCTGCCTTTACCATGAATCGGTGGGAGGGTGGGTCGGGCCTTTCGCGGTCGGCCGACGTTAGCACGGCGAACACGTGTGTGTGCGCGTGTGCGTGTCTGTGTGTGGGTGGGTGAGCGAGTAGGTGGCCAGGGCAACGGTGTTCGTTCTTGCGCAGGGCTGTCTGTCTGTCTGTCTGTATTTGTGGTTACATGGATGGACACAAGGAGGGGCTGGAGACTTCACCGCACGCACAAAGGTTTAAGATGGGACACGAGGGAGTCGACAGACGCACGTATGAGCGCATCCTTGACAGACGCATTTGTGCGTGGGTATGGTGCGGCGCGCACGGGTGGGTGGGTGATCGATCGAAGAGCCCTGTGTATGGATGCGGTACCAACGGATGGGTGGATGTAGGTTTGTCTGGCTGCTGTCCACTCATCTCATTCGTCGCCCACTGTCGGGCCGTCTCATTATTTTCTGCATGTACGTTCCATGTACCTTACTACGGTAGATGTGTGTGTGTGTACGCAGGTAGGTACGTGACTGATGCGATGCGGCCCGGCCGGGCTGATGCTATGCTATGCGTCCCGTACAGTACGTGTGTGGTCGAGTGACATGGGGACCGCGACGAATGGATGAATGACACGCCTATGTATATCTGTCTGCATGCGAGTCGTCTCTTCAGTCCCTTCCTTCACACGATGGCACGTCCGCAACTCGTCTGTGTGTGGACACCCACCGTCTTACTGTGTCTCGGTACTCACCAGACACAGCATTGCCATGGGTGTCCCCAACCAAACGAGTCACAAACGCTCCGCCACGAAAAGTGATGCAGTGAGGTCGATCAGACAGGGCAAGGGGTCACGCAGGCAGGCAGTCAGGCCAGCCAATAACACGTGTACGGTTGGTTTGCGGTTGCTCTGCAACGCATCCATTCCACACATCCATGCAGTATGTAGTCAGGCAACACTCACGTCACACCACATCACGCGCATGTATGTATGTATGCCTCTATGTCCTGCCGACGCACCAGCGCGTCGCTGCACGTCGACAAAACTTGATGGACTCCCACCACCACCCAAAACCAAGGCCACACACAAGCACACACACACACACACAGCATGTCTCCCGCTCGCCCTTGACGAGCTAGGGGCGTCGCAAAAAGCCGTTGGGGCACGTTGACTGACTGACAGGGGCACGTTGATCCACAGCAGCAGGGAGGGAGAGAAGGGGGAGGGGAGGGGAGGGGAGGGGGTGGTTTAAGGGTCTCCCCGTTAGGCCTCGTCGAGGGCCGCCACACCGGGCAGCACCTTGCCCTCCAGCAGCTCCAGAGACGCACCTGCACACACCATGTCACACACGTCAGTCACACAAGTGGCCTGCCTGTCGTGGTGTCTGTCGGTAGGCCTGTCAGCTGACCTCCTCCAGTGGAGATGTGGCTCATCTTCTCGGCGAGTCCTGCCTTCTCGACGGCCGCCACAGAGTCGCCTCCGCCGATGATAGTGGTGGCGCCCTTCTCGGTCAGCTCAGCCAGCGTCTTGGCCACGTCAATGGTGCCTGCCGCGAACTTGTCAAACTCAAACACGCCCATGGGACCGTTCCTGACCAAGCAGCCATATACACACGCCGAGCGAGAAGTGAGCGGCCATCGTGTCTGTATGGTCGTCCCATGAGGATCTTTCCTCCTACATACCAGACGATTGTTTTGCATTCGGCGAGTTTGTCCTGGATCATCTTGGTTGACTCGGGTCCGTTGTCGAGGCCCATCCAGCCGTCGGGGATCTCACCCACGGGCACCACCTTGCTCTCGGCATCGGCGGCGAACTTGTCGGCGATGATCACATCGGTCGGCAGGATCAGCTCCACGCCCTTGGACGATGCAATCTCCTCAATTTTCTGATCCATGGACGGACAAATCGATGCCACAGGGAAGAATGGGTGTGCGTCTGGCGGTGGATGCGTGTGGTCGGCTCAGCTCAGCTCACCTTGGCGAGGTCCATCTTGTCCTCCTCGACGAGCGACGCGCCCACACTCATGCCCCGGGCCTTGAGGAAGGTGAAGACCATACCGCCGCCAATAATGAGCTTGTCGACCTTCTCGAGCAGCGTCTCAATGACGGTGATCTTGGACGACACCTTGCTGCCGCCGACAATGGCAGCGAACGGCCTCTTGGGGTCCGACACGGCACCCTCCAGGTAGTCGAGCTCCTTCTGAAGGAGGAAGCCGGCCACTGATGGGGCGAGGAACTTGGTGACGCCCTCGGTTGAGCCGTGGGCGCGGTGTGCGGTGCCGAAGGCATCGTTGACGAAGAGGTCGGCGTTGGCCGCCAGCTTCTTGGCGAAATCGGGGTCGTTCTTCTCCTCCTCCGCATAGAAACGAACTAACAAAGGAAGGGAACCAACAGACAGACCGCAGAGGGTGGCGTATTTGGCTTGTTCTCCCATCCATTTGTGTATCTGTGCGTGTGGTGTGCATACCGTTTTCGAGGAGCATGACGTCGCCGTTGTTCATTTTGCCGACCATCTCCTCGACCTTGTCGCCGATGCAGTCGGGTGCGATGGGCACATCCTTGCCCAGCAGCTCCGACAGGCGGCCCGCCACCGGGCCCAGGCTGAACTTGTCCTCGGGACCGTTCTTCGGACGTCCCAAATGAGACGTCAACAGCACCTTGGCGCCTGCAGACAAGAAGTACAAGTGATGCCAGTTGTCTGCCGCACCATACGTGTGTGTGTGTGTGTTTGCCATTGTCTGCGAGGTATTTGATCGTCTGGATGCTCGCACGGATGCGCGTGTCGTCAGTGATGGTCTTGCCATCTGCACCCACACACATCATTCACAATGCCAGAATGAATGGCATGTGGCCGTCATCTGCACACTGCACCCCACTGCACTGGTGCACTGCACCCACTGCTGACTGACTCACCGAGAGGGACGTTGAGGTCGCACCTGACGAGGACCCTCTTGCCCGCGAGGTCGGTCTCCGTGAGGGTGGACACGGACTTCTTGGCCATCGTCATGGGCGCCCTCCGGCTGATGCCTCTGAACGAACGAGGGCTCAGCAGACCCTGACGGGCCGCCGGCACGAATGCAGTGCCTGCAGTGCACCATGACAAATCAACATGAACCACCGACAGCCACAGATAAACAGCTGGACACTCTGCATGATCTGATCTTGCCGCATGTATCTGCCTCTGCATCCCTCCTGACTGACGATAGATCTTCCCCTCTGTTGTGTGTGAGTAGATCCAGTCCTTTTCATCTCTCTCTCCCCTACCTGAAGTGATGGCCGAGACGGCGACGACAGCGGCGACGAGGCACTTCATTTTCAAACCACAAAGAAAGGGAAGAGAGCAGAGGAGCGGCGGCGGATTTCTCAAAATTTCGATTGGCTCTGCCCTAGGGCGCCCATGCTTCCGTGAAACAGTTTGAGGTTTGTGCCTTGAGAGAACGAAGAGAACGGCAGATCTTGGTGCCCCACAAGGACGTGATTGCTGTGCCTGTGACGATGTCGAATTTGAGCGATAAGCTGAACAGCGAGGCGTTTTGGCAGGACTTCATGCGGCGTCCCGAGGCGCAGGAGGCGTTGCGTCAGGAGCAGCAGCAGCACCTGCAGCAGTACGCCGCCTCGGTCAAGGAGTCGCTGGTCAAGGAGAAGGAGGAGCTCAAGGAGGCCCTCCTCGACTGCGGCGAGGAGCTTAGGCGGATGCTGGCGCCCATCGTCAAGTACGACATGGTCCACCGGCTGCTCTACAACACGCTCACCGACTGCAACAAGCACGGCATCTCACTCAACGACAGGCTGCTCGAGGACCACCCCTTCCGTGAGAGGCTGCAGCAGCTGTCCGACGAGTGCAAGGCAAACCCGGAACACCGTAAGTGCACTAACCAAACAGACAGATCTTCACGGCACCATACACACAGAGAGGGGAGAGGGGCGGGGAAGGGCGTACGTGTTCACGGCTGTGTGTGCTGGACGTGTTTGTGTGTGCAGTCAAGGCGATTCAGGATCAGTGGAGTGAGGTAGTGTTTGACGCCAAGAGGGCCGAGGACGAGGAGAAGGCCAAATACACCACACCGCTCATACCCGCACAGCAAGACCTCATCTCAGGTACCTCCAAGGCACACACTCACACCCAACGCCCATCATGCCTGAGACGCCTATCGATCTGACTGATGGTTGCCTGTTGTGTCCGTTGGTCGGTTGGTCGGGGCTCAGAAGCGTTGCGTGGCCACGACAAGCCTGTGAGCAAGCGGCGGCTGGACGCCTACACCCTCAAGACCCACCTCACCACTGCGCAGCAGATGCGCAAAGACGGAAACGAAAAGTACCAAGCCGGCGACTACGAAAAGGCTCTGGAGAGATACACAAATGTAAGACGGGAGGGCAGGGCCCGGCTAAACCACCCACCCACCACAAACAGCAGCAGTAGGGGAACATCTGCCGTGTGTGTGTGTGTGTCACACCACACCAATCTCATCAGGCCGTCGGTTTGCTGTCGCCCATCACTGGGTCGAACCCCAACGACACCAAGCTGCTCAACGAGCTGTACATCCTCGTGCTCAAGAACCAGGCAGCGGCCGCACTCAAATGCGAGCGGTGGAACACGGCCATCGGTGAGTGAGGCAACCACAGCGACCGACCGACATGAGAGAGACCATCAGTGCGTGGATGGTGTGGCGTGTTGTGTTGTGTTGTGGTTAGCTGCTGCGACTGATGCCCTGTCGATAGACGAGTACGACTGCAAATCGCGCTACCGCCGAGCACAGGGGCGGGCCATGTTGGGCGACATCGACGGGGCCAGACAGGACTACCAGGCCATTATCGATGAGTGAGTGAGCAACTGGCACACGCAGATGGAGATCTGACCTGGTGTGTGTGTGTGGGGGGGTGTGGTTATCAGGCCGTGGGTGGATCGTGATTCCAAGGAGGCGGCCAAGAAGGGTCTCCGTGACCTGGACAAGATCCAGAGGAACCACAAAAAGTCCTTCAACAACTTCTGGGCAAAAACACTCGACAAGGTACACACATACACACACACACCTGTAGATATCCCTACATGGCCCCTCATCGTTGCCTTATGTCCGTCCATCAGGGTGTGTTCAGCAAGGAGCGTGCCAAAGACGGCGAGGCCCCTGACGCCGAGACCGACACGAGCGATGCGGGCGCTACGCGGTCAGACGGCACGCCCCCGCCACCGCTGACCAGGAAGCAGACACTGGAGGTCCTCGAGGCACTCAGGAACGACTATGCGGTGAGGCCACACACACACACAGTCATAGGTGCGTCTGGTCATGTGTTCATCATGTGTGTGTGGGTGATGCGTATGCGTGTGCAGCGGTCGGACACGCAGGACAAGTTGCGTGTGTTGGCGGAGGAGGTGGAGCTCGACGAGGAGGCCTTCATGGCCCGCCTCAAGGACGCCCTCCCGCCCCTCTCGCACTCGCAGTTCGCCTGGGCCCAGGACACCTACAGCAAGGCCGACCGAGACCTGAGGAGGGATCTGGACACCTCGGTGACGTACTGGCGCGTGTCTGACCCGTCTGTGTCTAACCTGAACAGCGCTATATGGCAGCTGATAATGCAGGAGCTCATGATTAAAAAGAGGAGCAAACAGATGGAGGGCTGGGAGGACTACTAGCCTGTCTATCTGCCTGTCTGTCTGTCTGAGGACCCCAAAGAGCTAGCTGTATTGGCTGTGTGTACCGTGAGGTTTTTCGTCGATCCTTTCTTTCTGTGTGCCGCTCTCTCTGTGTGAGAAGGCTGGTGTGTGAGAGAGGTCGGTATAGGTATAGGTATATTGTGTTGTGTTGTGTTGTGTTGTGCCGTACCTACTCAGAGAGGCCGCCGGCAGGCCTGCAGACATGCAGCCAGCGATTCGAGGGGTACACGAGAAGGGAAGGAGAGAGAGGGGTGAGTGCCAAAAGTGCCTTGCCACCTCGCTTCGATCCCTGCCTCTCTCCTCAGTGAGACAGACACACAGGCCAGACAAGACAAGGCAGACAGTCGACCGATCCTGCTGCCCTCCCATTCCCACGTTTCTATCTCCCTGACCGGCTTGTGAAGCTGGATGCTCGTCTGGCTTTTGTGTGTTGTTGATTCGTGCCACTGCCCTCCAGTCTGTTAACCGAGAGCAGGCTTGGAGGTCCGTGGCCTGCCGCAGCGACACACACATGTACACCAGACGAGCATTCGACAAAGTCGATGCAGTGCACTGACTGAGCAGCGGCTGAGGTGAATGAGGTTGGTATTGGTAGGACGTCGACAATGAGGTAGGGTAGGTGACTGTCTCATGGTCGACGTCGACGGACTAATTAAGGTACAATAAAATGCTGTGACCTCCACACCACGCACGCCACCTGTAGTACCGACTGCAGTGCGTGCACCCGCAGCCGGACCACCACGTGCCAGACAAATCTGCACACGGCCCCGGGAATGAGCGGCCCCCACTCAAGCATCACAGATCGCTCTCCCTGCGGCAATCCGTAGCTGGGAGATGGTCGCACTCGTATGCGTTTCTGCTGGACTGGGCGTGTGGGAATGCGTGTGGACGTCTGTGTGTCGGTTTCGGTGTGTGTCGACTGACTGCACAGACGTTTTCCCCTCAGTTGACTCGTTGCTTCAACGGTATGTGTAGGTACGCTCGTGTCTCCTTTGTCCAATGGCAGCCAGTCAACCCCACAACAAACAACACAGACGAACGGTCAGGCAGGCAGACGGACAGCGGGTCACTGCAGGCAGGCAGGCAGTCGCGCACACACGCATGGCTAGAGAGGTGCACTTGGGGCTCTGTGTGTGTCACGGCGTGTGCGGTGTGGGTGCCGCTCATCCGTCGATGGCCCATCCGTCGTTCCTTGTCTGGTGGTGGGTGGGTGGGTGGGTGTGATGTGCCTCTCTTCGCCAATGCAATGCCCGCATCTATCTGCTGCCAGCCTGCCGGCCACGCCACGCCACGCCGTGCCATTCCATCCATTCACACACACACATACACGCACACACACCAACAGACGGCGAGGCAGACTCTATACACGCACCAACAGACGACGGGCAGGCAGACTCCACAGTATACACACATCACACGTCGGCCATTCACCACCCCGTCAGCCAGGCACTCGACTTTCCCCTCTCCCTCTCCCCCCTGTCCTCTCCATCCGTCCCTCCATCCGGCCATTGCAGCAATGGCTACGTGCTGTCAGCCGAATTAATTGCATGTAGGCACGATACAGGCAGACAGGGAGGCAGGCAGGCAGGGAGTATCCAGAATGGATGGGACAAAAACAAAGTTGGAGATGCGGGCGGGCGGGGTGTCGGGTGGTGTGGGTGCCATGTGTCGCTCTCTCCGTCCTTCTGAGTCCCTTTCTGTGTGTGTGTGTTTGGTGGGGCGGCAAAAGTCAGCTCAAGGGACGCAACACGACGCGGCAGGCAGGTCAATCGACAGAGGAGAGAGAGAAGAGAGAAGCTGGGAGCTAGCTACGGGAGACCGAGCGACAGACACTTTCTGCTGAGTTGTCTGGATGGCACCGACACACCAACCCACGCCCCACACCACACACACAGACACACACCCCTCCTTGGCTGCACAAGACACTGGCACACGAAGCACAAGACATCCCATGCTCCCTCCCCAAAAGAGACGAGGTCAGTGCACTCACAAACCAAAGGAAAGACACACACGTCGGTCACGTCTGCACACACACCCACTCATCACATACGCACAAACATGGATCCGGTCTGTCTGTCTCTGAGTCAGCCATCGAAGGTGGGTGGGAATCTCTATCTACGAGTGTGTGGGCTGGTGTGGTTGTGGTTGGTGTGGTTGGTGCGTCAGTCAGTCAGTCGTAGAAGACCGACGCGATGTTGTAGTTGGCGGGCGTCGACCACTTGGCAATGCAGGCGTCCTGCTTGCCCTGCAGGGCAGGACAGGACACACAGAGGGGCAGGGGGGCCATCCATCCATCCACTCATTCAGCCATTGCAGGTGCTGTGTAAGGTGTTGCGTACGATGGCTATGTGCGGCCGGCCCAGAGATCGGAGGAGCCTGGCCATCTCGTATGCGCAGGA